CCTCTGACCCTCCTCCCTCTCATGCTCTCTGTCTCTCATTCTCTCTGTCTCAAATAAATAAAATCTTAAAAAAAAAAAAAGACATTCATGTAGTAAGTTGTCTCAACCTTTAAATATTTGAGTACCTCATTGGGGGCATATTTACATTACAGATTAAGGGAAGTTCTAAAACCTGGGGAAAAATAATACTGCTATGAGAGTTCTCTAAGTCTGTAAGTGTTGCTTTGCCAAACCAGAAGTCCAAAATCATGTATTTCATGTGTAAATGTCATTGTATGCAGCACGTACTGAATGGGGCACTGGGTGTTAAACGCAAACAATGAATCATGGAACACTACATCAAAAACTAATGATGTAATGTATGCTGATTAACATAACATAATAAAATGTAATTAAAAAAAGAAAAAATCTAGATATATCTCCTTTTTTAAAATAAATGAAGTAATTTGACCAAATTCTTATATTATTAAGTGGGCAATGCAATTTGAGGCCAGGTTGGAATTTATGTCATTCTTTATCAAGTAAGCTATGTTTTCTCAAGTAATTTACCCTAGCATAAACTGAGTATAAATAGACTGATGAGCCCACAGTTGTTTCTGTCCCCATTATATCTGGTGTATGCAGTAGTTGTAGAATCCATGGTCAGTATATCATTTCCTTACCTTACTGGGAGATATTTAAGAACCTGTGACCTGTAAATATGAGCTTTACTATGCTTACAGGGTCATAGAGATGGATAATGGTGAATCGAACCTGGTGAAAAAGTGACTCTCCAGAGAACCACTTTGCACTTTGAAAGAAGATTTAGATTTAAGCTTAGGTAGATGCTAATTTTAATTGTTTATTTCAATCTATTTGAATTTAGTCTGCATCTACATGGCCCCAGAGACAAGAGGGAATTGAAAAGGTTTCCAAACATAATATTTCATAAACTCAGTAGCTCAGTTCTTCAACATGTTAGCATGACAGGAAAAGCAAATATTTTCTGGGCTTTAAGCTGATCTTGCACAGAAAAGTTAGACCATGTTGGTTGATTTGACAAAAAATAAATTTTTGATAAAATATCCCTAAACCTTAAGTCCTATTATCAGCATATGAACAGCCACAGCTTTAATTTCATAGAACTATGTTCATTTTTAAACACTCTTGACATGGCTGTAATTTCAAGTCAGATTTTAATGTGATTGATATGAATATATATATAATCACAAACAAAAATTGTTCCATTTCAACTTTGTTCTTTTTATCTAAAGGAACGATACTCGATCTGAGGCTTGTAAAACAATTAACTGGTCAATTGAGTCATTCAGCCATTAGCCAAACTATTGGCTTAATGATTTTTTTCTCCCTCACTTAACTGGTTACTTGACTGAAGTCGCTAAATCAATTGATATTTCAGCTTTGGGTGCATGAAGGTAGAGCAGGAAAATTACCCTGATATTTATGTAAAAAGATTACATATATATATATATATATGTATTCTGACAGACAAATGCTAAAACTAGTCTTTAATATGTATCTTAAAATGTATCAGTATAGGAATGGCCTTTGTTTCAGTTTATTCTATTTGAATTCATTGCCATCTTTAACTTTTATAAGTTTACATTTCTCAACCACACATTTGGCAGCCAGCAAAGATGAAATATTTTATGAGCATTTACA